CTCTTAGCTCCTCTTTATGGTCTGAAATGTCAATGATTACTAAGAAGGAGGAATAATCTGGAATTATAAATCAAATGGAAAAAAAGTGTAGTTGATTAGCTCGGTTTTATCGGAATTCAATTGCCAAATCATTTTCTTGTTTGTGAATTGTGATTCTGCAGACATCTTCAGGTGGAGTGTTATTGCCTAAAGCAGCTGTGAAATTTGAGAGATACCTAACAGGGGAGGTAAAGGCATTTGCTTTCCTTGTGTTTATATTATTGACTTGAAAGCATCTTTTACTTTTAGAATTTGTGATTAGAGGAATCATATTTCAACAGGTTGTCGCTGTTGGTACTGAGGTTGGACAAGTTGGACCTGGAAAGAAGGTAAAGCTTCTTCTTCTTTTAACTCTTGAACATCATCCATTGTACTACCTTATTGTGAATGTTCACTTCATATGTTTCTCCTTTGGTTTTTTTTCATAGGTTCTGTTCTCCGACGTGAGTGCGTATGAGGTGAAATCAGCTTCTTCTCTGCAGTGAATTGATCAGTGATACAAGTGTGGTACTTTAGGAATGTGGAACTAAACATTATCCTTTGAATTCATTTTTGCAGGTCGATTTGGGAACCGATGCTAGGCATTGCTTTTGTAAAGAGAGCGACTTGTTGGCCCTTGTCGAGTGAGATCATGATACATCCAAGGATTCATGAAGATTTTTAGATGTTTTATGTAATCTTCAGACTGTATTTCTTGTTTTCTGTCAATCTTTCTACTAGAATATCAATTGAGTTCATTTTCAGACAGTCATAAGCGAAAGATCTTCAAAGAGTTAAACCGAAAAAAGGACTTGTTGCCATTTTTAGCATCTTCTGATACAAATTTTGAAAAGACACATACTAGAATCAAAACTCGAAAACACGAAGCTCGATCATGCCTTCTTTTCTCTTTGGGGAATACCAAGCCACGACTTTTCCAGATTCAAGAAGCCTCAAGGAGTAATTAAAACTGTAAATCAGATCTTCCATTTGTGCTCCAAACTTCCCTGCACCTACCTGAAACTGAGAGTCTACTTTGAAAACGATCGGACCTGCAACCTGCAAAATTATTGTACGAGAAAAAACAGTGATGGGCATTGCTTAAAAATTGATTCTTTGCATCAAAGGCTTTGACTATTGATCTTTGGACAAAATCTAATACCTGCTGCTGGAATATCATATTGAGTCTGGGAGACCACAATGCGTCATCTGACTTGTCACCACCTGAAGATCTTCTAACAGCATGGAAGATTCTTTTGGCAAGAGCAGAAGCTGAGGAAATGTCCACACGAGCATCTACTCGTGTAAGATCGCCATACAGCTTACTAAAGCGGCCTTTTTGAAAGGTAAAACAAGCAGAACCAAAGGCGTCTGCGCTTATCGGACTCCGCTTCTTGCCATTAACCAACATGCCTCGGCCTGTGATCCAAGCTGCCAAGCTGCTTCCTAAAGAGTGAACATTGAGAACTCAGAATTCAATTCAAGGTCAAGAAGAAAAGGAAAGAGACTCCTTTTAGGCGAACGGGCTTTTAAGAGAGTACCTACTATTCCTGAAATTCCTGCACGAGGCTCCTTTAGACGTAAATCGTAAGGCAGAAACACAGCTGTATCCTCTTCTTCTGTGTTGTCTTCTTTCTCTTGTGGCCTCCACAAGTCTCTCTTAGCCTTATATGAAACCGCACCCTTCGCACATAAACCAGGCAACAGAGAAGTAGGAGCATCACCACCACTCTCAGTAGCAGCAGCATTCACAGGCTGAGGATTACCCTTGCTGTTGTGTACACCAAACCGGTATCGAAGCCCGGTTTCTAGAGCAAGCGATGAGACATCAAAAGATAATGATTCAGGAACATCCCAGAAACATCCTTTACGGTCCAAAAACAGATCAGGCCAAGCTGCTTCCACAGTGAGATCATGTTCCTCAAGCTGCTCAAACCAAAATATATCAAGAAATGCTTAAAACATACAAAAATAATCCATCATGGATACAGATACATACCGGATGAACAAACATCAACTTCTTCCGGAGTCCATTTTTATCGCCAAGCCGTTCAGCGCTAAGCAACAGAGACGAAGAAGTCCCCAACGCAATCTGAGTCCATAAACCAATTGAGTAAAGGGATTTGTCTACAATGTGTTTAGTTGTTTCCTTGAAAAGTTGAAGATCCCATTCTTCTGAATTCTTTATATCTCTTTTGATATCAGCAAAGAGCTTCTTTGGTCTAAATTGCCCTACCAATCCTAGCCACCTACAACGATCCAAGCACAAATTCGAGTGAGAAATAACCAAACAGACCTCAACAACACCGATACAAAAGATGAAGTACCCAACTTTGGTGGTTTACTCACTCAAACACACACCAAAAACAAAAATGGGTTTTTACCAGTTGGAAGAGGAAGGACTGAGCAAGAGAGAATTGAGAGAGAAAGAGCCGATTCTCTTGTCGGAAGCAGGAGCGAAAGAAGGGATGATTCCGAGAGGAAATCCTTCGCGGAGGAGAGAGAGTTGCTGAATCCGGTGAGAGCGGCTTGCTCGTGAACCGTCGACTGGAAATGGGTCGCCGGGAACAGAACGAGCAGTGCCTTCTAGGGTTTGTGGTGTAGAAATGTTCTGGTCCCAAAATGCTGAATCAATTGCTGAGTTGAGATTCGCCA